TGTTTTGTTCTGTATTTGAAAGCCATATAGCTTTAAGGAAGGAGGCCTGGTGGTGTAATGATCAAGTGCTCGGCTGCTAACCGAAAGGTTGGTGGTTCAAACCCACCAGCAGCTCCGAGGGAGAAAGACCTGACGATCTGTTCCCATAAAGATTACAGCCTAGGAAACCGTATGGGGCAATTCTACTCTGTCCTATAGGGTTGCTGTGAGTCGGAATCAACTCGACGGTACACAGCAACAGCAACAACAGCACAGTTTTAATGTTCTTGATGCACTTCTTGGTCTCACAGAGAGATGAGAAGCCCCTTTTAACCCCCTCCCCCCATATTTCTTCCTTCCTGGAGGCGGATGATTGGGGTGAAGGGCAAAATGAATCAACTGGCTTGTCCCAGCAGTCATGCCTTCACCCCAAAGGTGGAGGGGAATTTACTGCTCACCCCAGAAAATACTGGGTGTATTTATACTCTGGCTCTTTCTCTCCCCCACCCCCACTTCACTAGGCTCATGCTGCCCAATAGGCAAGGCCGTGTAGAGGGGACAGCTGGTGTTTATCTGTCCCCCAGCCCCGAGAGAATTTAAATCAGGTTAAATGCTTTGTAGTTGGTTATTTTTACTAAGTTCCACTGTGGCCTTTGCATTTTAATTTACAGCTTTCAAGTCACTGAAGCCTATTTCATACATCGGTATCTGGGAATTGTCCGTTTTGCTAGACTTTATCACACTCTAATGTAAATATTACTTTAATGCTGATATTTAATTCCCAGTTCACAAATAATATATTTTACGATTCTGTTCCCAGTGGTGGTGATTTAGCTCTCCCATTGTGCTTATCATGGAGTGATGATTGGAGGTATTTTCCATATGGCCAGTGTGGCAGCTTGTGTTTTTAGTGGCTGTTATCCATGTGTTAAACAGAAGAAGAGCAACAGGACCATGGGGCTGAAGTGTGCTTGCTGTTAACATAGCATGTATTTGGGTTAAAACAAAGAAAAAATCTCCGCTGCTAGGATCAGGAAGCTAACAGTGGAGTGTCTAAGAAAATGGTTGAGTATCTCTCAAAGTCAAATTGTAGTGTGTTAGAAAGAGCACTGAATTGAGAGTCAGGAAGCCTGGATTTTATACTTGCTGTGAAATCAATTTGCTATGTGGTATTGCTCTATCATGTCCCCCGAAAGGCCTCTGTTTCCCTGTCTGTGCAATTAGAGACAGAAGTAGATGGTCTTCCAAGAGTTTTCTCACTTCTAAAATTCTGTCAGCAAGTTTTATGACTACACGGGGATTCTAGATAATGCAAGGATATTTTCCTCTGTCCTTTTTCCATCAATTTCAGAAATGTTTATGGTATTATTGCCTAATTTTTTTTTCTGTTGTTTGGTTAGGGTAGAACTAACTGGATAGAAAAATCCAGCATCCTTTAGGGACTTACTAGTCAAAGTATAATCCTGGAGCAGCATCAGCATCACCTGGAGCTGGCTAGAAATGCATATTCTCAGGCCCTATCCCAGACCTCCTGAAGCAGAAGCTGCATCTTAACAAGATGCCCAAGTGATCCATGTGCACGTTATGGTTTGAAATGCAGTTCCTTTCGGAAGGAATGTTTTGGATTGAATAGACTGTGACATATTTCTCTTCCATCTCTTAACCACTGCGTCACCAGGGCTCCGTACACATACA